AACACTGTGTAGCTTAAAAGCTCTGCCCTTCCACCAGCAAAGTTGGTCCAGTAAAAGATATTACCTCTTCCACCTTGTTTGTCTCATGTCCTGGGACCAGCATGACTATAACAACACTGTGAGCAATAGACAGAGATTGATTTTTTTGGGAAAGATACAAAACTGTTTAGCTTTGTTTTAGGAAGTAAGGAAGGAGAGTGTTGATTGGGAGGTAGTCAGTATGAAAGGTTTGGTCTGTCTCTTGCTATTGTGTAATGCCTAAAGTTACTGGATAGGAATGTTTTGATAAAAATAAAAGATTAAAAGAAAATAAGTAGTTAAAATGGTTTCCTTTTTAAAGTTTTTTTTGTTTGTATCTTTTATATTTATAAAAGCATTCCTATATAGTAATTTTAGGCATATACACAATCTTAGGCAAAAAGACTAAGAATAAAAAATGAGAATAATATAATATGCAATATAGATATTACTTTATACGTATAGCCTTTTTTATCTGTAGATCTAAAATCACTCTACTGTTGATTATATTTTGGACTTTATTTCCCTCCTCTTTGCAAACTGAATCCTTAGACCCTCAATCCTAATAATCTTTTAAAATCACCTTGTTGCTTATGGATGTAAATGAGCTACTTGCCAGAGCATGTGCAGCCCTGTGGAGGTATTGAAAATAGCGTGTATTGGTAACTAGAATTTTCAAACAGTTTGGTTTCTGCTACAGTCACAACCTCTTTAAACGTTCCCCAAGAAGATGGAGACCCAAGAGAGCAGTAGCAAGTTTTAAATGGCAGTATTTATTAGTGATTAATTTGATTTTTTTAAATTCTGCCTTTGTTTATTGATAATGCCACAGCATTGAAAGAGTTAATGATAGACCTGTTTAATTGAAATGTATCAAATACTACAAGGATCCCAGAAAACAAGGCTTTAGTAAACAGCACCCTGATTTCAATAAGAAATACATCAATAAGCAAACTTGGGCTATTAGGTTCACAAAATACAAATCTAACAAAATAAATAACAATTGATGTACTGGTAAAAGGTCAGGATACGTAGAACACTTTTGGAGCGAATTCCTTCCGACTTCAAACTCAATGGGCAGAAATTGAAATTCATAAATAATTTATTTTTAATGAGTTCCCAAGAGTCTTGCTGAATGTGAAGTAAACAAAAATGCAGATAAGTGAAGTTACTCTTGAAATACTCTGCTACGTCAATCTTCTGTGTCTCAATGAAAGATGCAACAATTTTAGCCTATCACACCGATAGTGCAGTGTCATGCAGTGCAAAACCCTTTTTTTAAAAAAAGAAAATGTATATGCCAGTCTTTTAGTGTGATCTTACTACTGATCTGTAAGATTGGGAAAGATTACTTAGTCCATTTCTCCAGTGGAATTGTTTATAGCAGAGGAAGTTATGAATAGGGCCCTACCAAATTCATGGTCCATTTTGGTTAATTTCGTGTGCATAGGATTTTAAAAATTGTAAATTTCATTATTTCAGGTATTTAAATCTGAAATTTCACAGTATTGTAATTGTAGGGGTCCTGACCAAAAAAGGTGTCCTGCAGGGTCACAAAGTTATCGTAGGGGGATTGCGGTACTGCTACCCTTACTTCTATGCTTCAGAGTTGCTCCTGAAGGCAAGATTGAGAGCCTTGTTGTTCTTCTCAGAGCTCTAAGAACACCCTAGTGACTTGTGGTGAGACTACTAAATAGACAACAGGTAGCAGATTTGGGATTTAACATGTTTGAGAAGGATGTTTTAAAAAACTCCCAGATAACCCTACAATTGTAAAAAGATGGAGAGAAAAGGGAGATCTTATTTATTTCTTTTGATTATCAGTTCAGTTAACTACTATTGCTTAACTGGATCAGGAGCTGAGAGACTCTAGGTAAAGCCTTCCCCTAAAAGTTGTGTTCATATGTTTAATCAAAGCGATTGGAAAGTGCATGCTTGGAGGGAAGGTTTCCCCACTGATTTAGAACAGAATTAAAGCTATAAGGTAAGTAGAGCCCCAGTTCTCTACAGTTATGTAAACAAGCCAATAATGTGACTCTTGTTTAGAATTTTTGTGATTTTTATCTGAGATTGAGCGTTTCCTCAGAATACATAGTCTTTCATGTAGGCATTGTTTCTGACCAGGCAAATTAGGAAGGATCTGTTATGCATGATGTGTCTAGTTCATAGCACATTTGTGAGAAATCTTGCTTTAAGGAGTTGGATTTTGTGGATACTCTGAGTAACATTATGTATTGGGACTAGATTTTTCCCTTATGGAGCCAAAGAAGAAATATTATCCCCACTTAATTGTCTACAGAGAAGCAAGTAAAAGACTTTATTTGGATTTGGTACTAATTTGGTTTGGTTTGACTGTTTCTCATCATTGACCACAACCAATTGATGAGCCAAAATAAGCAAAATCTACCAGAACACTAATGGTGATCTAGGTTATGTCCCAAAAACTAAATGAATACTTTATATCCGTTTTCAATAAGGATGGCAACGTAGCAGACGGGGGCAAAGGCAGGATACCTAATGGAAAAGCGTGCATAGAAATGGAAATTACCACATTCAAGGTGGAAGCAAAACTCAGAGTTTAATACACTCAAATCAGGGCTGGATAATCTCCATCCTAAAATACTGCAACAAATGGCACAAGAAATTGCAAGTTCAGTAGTGAGCATTTTTAATAAATATCTCAAATTGGATGTGGTACCATATGATTGAAGAAGAGCAAGAATAGTAAGTATATTTAAGGGGAAATTTAGTACATCTAATCTGTCTGGACTTCAGTATAGCACCTGATATGGTTAAACATGGGAAATTATTAGTTAAACTAGAGAATGTGGGGTTTAGGATTGAAATTCTAACGTGGTTAAGAAAGTGGCTAACAGAGAGACATGGGTTTTTCTGAAAGGAGAATTCTCCAGCTGGTGGGGGGTTAGTATCAAGGAGTGCTCCTGGGGCCGGTTTTGTTCAACATTTTATCAATGATCTGGATGATGGGATTAATTGCGCCCTCAGATGACACTAAACAGATGACACTGAGCTGAGGGGAGAGGTAGATACGTTGGAGGGTAGGGATAAGGTCCAAAGTGACCTAGACAAATTGAAGGATTGGGAAAAAAGAAATCTGATGAGTTTCAACAAGGACAAGTGCAGAGTCCTACACTTAGGAAGGAAGAATCCCATGCACCACTACAGGCTGGGGACTGACTGGCTAAGCAGCAGTTCTGCAGAAAAGGACCTGGGGATTACAGTGGATGAGAAGTTGGATATAAGTCGACAATGTGCCCTCATTGCCAAGAAGGCCAACGGCATATTGGGCTGTATTAGTAGGAGCATTGCCAGCAGATTGAGGGAAGTGATTATTCCCCTCTGGTCCCCCCACTACAGAAAGATGTGGACAAATTGGAGAGAGTCCAGCAGAGGGCAACAAAAATTATTAGGGGGCTGGGGTACATGACTTATGAGGAACTGGGGTTATTTAGTCTGCAGAAGAGAAGAGTGAGGGGGGATTTGACAGCAGCCTTCAACTACCTGAAGGGGGGGTTCCAAAGAGGATGGAGCTAGGCTGTTCTCAGTGGTGGCATATGACAGAACAAGAAGCAATGGTCTCAAGTTACAGTGGGGGAGGTCTTGCTTGGATATTAGGAAACACTGCTTCACTAGGAGGATGGTGAAGCACTGGAATAGGTCACTTAGGGAGGTGATGGAATCTCCATCCTTAGAGGTTTTTAAGGCCTGGGTTGACAAAGCCTTGGCTGGAATGATTTAGTTGGTGTTGGTCCTGCTTTGAGCAGGGGATTGGACTAGATGACCTCCTGAGGTCTCTTCCAACCCTAATATTCTATGATTCTACTAGTGGAGTTCCTCAAGTATCTGTCTTGGAACAGATCTTGTTTAATATTTTCATTAGTAACCTTGGCACAAAAAGGAGGAGTGTGCCAATGAAGCGTGAACATAAGAATGGCCATGCTGGGTCAGACCAAAGGTCCATCCAGCCCAGTATCCTGTCTGCCGACAGTGGCCAATGCCAGGTGCCCCAGAGGGAGTGAACCTAACAGGTAACGATCTAGTGATTTCTCTCCTGCCATCCATCTCCACCCTCTGACAAACAGAGGCTAGAGACACCATTCCTTACCCATCCTGGCTAATAGCCATTAATGGACTTAACCTCCATGAATTTATCTAGTTCTCTTTTAAACCCTGTTATAGTCCTCTGCTGATGATGCAAAGCTGGGAAGCATCGTCAATACAGAGGAGGATTGGAATATTATACAGGAAGAATTGGATGACCTTGAGGCATGGAGTCAAATAAATTGGATGAAATTTAACAGTACTTAAGAGCCTAATAACCAGAATTTCAGCTATAAACTGAGGCTCATTACTTGAAAGCAATGGAGGAGAAAGACATGAACCATAGGAAGACTGAGTCACCAATGTGAAATGGCTGTGGAAAAGGTAAATGCAATACTAGGATGTGTCAAATGAGGTATTTCCGGTAGAGGTAGGGAAGTATTAATGCCACTGTACAAGGCATCGGTAAGACCTCATTTGGAATACTGTGTGCAATTCTGATCACCATGTTCAAGAAAAATGAATTCAAACTGGAACAGGTGCAGAGAAGGGCTACTAGGATGATCAGAAGAACTGAAAAGTCTATATGAGAGAAGACTAAAAGGGTGGTATAATTACCAGGGATCCTAGAAATCCTTTTGACACAAAAATACACAGAATTTGCATTTTTACAGAGAATCTTTAGATTTAACATTTTGTGAAAAAATAAAAACCTATAAACTAAATTTTACTGAAAGTATCAGTGTTACTTATTCAGTTTGCACAACTTCCCCCTCATGGTTGATTTTTGATTGCACTTTAAATTTACATAGCTAAATATACACAAATAAACTGCTTTGGCATATAGAGGTTACTCAACAGCGTTTAGGGGTTTGTGTTTTAATGCATCTCAAATTTCACTTCAGCCTCCAGACATGAATAATTAAAGTTACGAAAAGATGCTGACAACTTTAAAAATCACCCCTAAAGAATGTGTCACTGAGTTTGGCAAGGACAAATTTCACGTTGATGGTAATATGCTGTTCTGTACTGGATGCAACAAGGCTGTAGATCATTTGAAGGCAGACAATTGTAGAACACATGGAAAGCACTAAACATAAACTGAATGAAAAGAAATTAAAGCAAGAGGCTGAAACAGCAGGCCCATCGACTCCAGTAAAGAAACAATGCACTGTGACTGGATAATTCTAGCATTTTACAACAGCATGAAACTGTCACTTTCAGATTTGTTTGAATGTGTGTAAAAGACATTCCTCTGCATAAAATTGATTTAGCCGTTGTCAGAGATTTTTTGAGGAAACATTGAGAGGTAATGCCAGTCCCAAATCAGATCAATTGTATTCCCATTATTTACCAACTCTCTTTGAAGAGGACACACAGCACCTTCTCAGTGACCTGAAAGGAAACTCGATTGCCGTGATCATCGACAAAACAACTGAGTTAATTTCATGGCTGGAGCATCTTACGTCATCAACTGATAATGCGAATGGATCTGCAGCTGCTCAAAGTGCTGCTGATAAACTGAGACAGTACAACCTAAAAAAATAAACCAGCAGTTGATTTTCTCCATGTTGTTCATGCACTAGATCCTAAACAAATAGTTGCTGCTTGTACAGGTTATGAAAGTGAAACCGCAGTTAGAGCTGTCCGAAGAATGCAACATGGAATGGCTAGTGTATTTAGGGATTGCCAAAGACGCATTTGGAAATGTTGAGGATCCCATTTACTGATGGGTGGCTGTTGAAGATCACATTCCCAACCTGGCAAAACATGCAGTGGTTCTCCTCCAACTTGACTGTAGATTCAGCTGACGTGGAAAGAAGTTTCAGCCAACTTGGGGTTCTTTTTTGTGCTCAGCACCAATGTCTGAAAGACGAAAATGTGGCTGGAATGCTGCAACTCTATTTTAACAACCAGGACTAACTCATAAAGTGAGTAATGTTAATATAAAAGCAGATTTTCACTTTATTTTTGTGTATTTAAAAAAATCTGAAAATATAGAATATAGACAGAAGTACTTGGTGTATGTAAGAAATACATTGCAATTATATTTTATTTTCATTATAATGATTGGCACTGGTAGGCTTCGAAGTTACTTGCTTAAAGATTTTAAATATAGCAATAAATCTTTGTGTTCAACTGATACATATATGTATTGTGGCTAGGGAAAGTAAAGTTCAGCTTTTCATTTTAATTGTGAAAAAAATCTGATGGGGGGCGTTATTGGAGAATTTTTGGGTCTTTATCACTGAAAACTAGAATCCCTGATGATTACTCTGTATAAATACATCAGGGAGTTAAACACCGGGGGGGGAGCAATTTAAGCTAAATGTTGACACAAGAACAAATGGTTATAAACTGGCCATGAATAAATTTAGGGTGGGAATAAGAAGGTTTCGAACCATCAAAGGAGTGAGGTTCTAGAAAAGCCTCTCAAAAAGGAGTAGTTGGGGGCAAACAACCAAAGTAGTTTTAAGATGGAATTTGATATATTTATGAATGGGATTATATGACAGGGTTGCCTGCAGCAGGGTACTGGACTAGATGATCCAGGAGATCCCTTCCAGCCCTGTGCACATCAAGTTAAAGATATAGGTTAGTAGGCCATATGTGTAAAAATGTTTACTAATTCTTCAGCTAAACCAGAACTAAGAACATAGAGGGGCTGTACTGGATCACATCAATGATCCATCTAGCCCAGTATCTGGTCTTCTGACAGTGGCCCGTGCCAGATGCCTCAGAGGGAATGAACAGAACAATTGAGTGACCTGTCCCCTGTCATACAGTCCCAGCATCTGGCAGTCAAAAGTTTAGGAACACGCAGAGCATGGGGTTGCATCCTTGACCATCTTGGCAAATTGCCATTGATGGACCCATCCTCCATGAGCTTATCTAATTCTTTTTTTAATCCAATTATACTTTTAGCCTTCACAACATCCCATGGCAGCGAGTTCCACAGGTTGACTGTTTTGTGTGAAGAAGTATTTCCTTATGTTTTTTGTTTTAAATCTGCTGCCTGTTAATTTCATTGAGTGACACCTGTTTCTTGTGTTACGTGAAGGGGTAAAGAACACTTCCTTATTCACTACCATCTACAAACTCTTAAGTTGGATCCTGCAAGAATCTGTTTGTCAATTATTGGTTCTGAAGTACTAAGACAAAACTAATTAACAAAAACCCCTGAGAAATCCCAGGTCTTTCTTGTCATCTTCTACTTACTTAGATTAATTGTGGAGAGATACCTCATTGTTTCAATTTGAATGCAGTGTAGGCCCACGCCATCAAACCCCCCCCCCCCCCAAAAAAAAAAAAAGGCACAACAAACGGTTTGCCAAAAAAGTAAGCATAATTTAAAAAGTAAAATCTCCGGAAGACTCAAGCTTCAAAGATTTCTCTATGAAAAGGGAATTGTGGAAATGCTAACAGCATTCTACAGTTAAAACAAATGCATTTCAATCAATAAATATTTTGTGTTTCAGCAAATCCAGGAAAACTAGTGACTTGCATCTACAGCATTCCAAAACACAATTTTATATTAAGTGATAAAATCACTTAGTAATAACAAACATGGGTACAAGTCCAAATAGTATAAAGATTGGAACTTAATTTGTTGTCTTTTTGGTTTTGTTGACCACATTCCATGTTCAGCTCTGTCTGCACAATCAAATGCTTTGACATTCCAAATCTACCACCCTGTCTTTAGTTAGATGAAAGACAAGTGGTGTCATAGTCCTAAATATCTGCTCATTCCAGTATCTCTGGTTGCATCATCAAGTGTGCTTGTCTGCCATAGACTTCAGAAGCGTGCTCTGTGTTTCCCAGTAATGCACCTTTAGCACCACATTCTGCCATGAAAAACACATTCAAGTCTCCAAACATCAAAAATTATGTTAGTTGCTCTTTTAGACCCTTGCTTCCCGGACAAACCTCTCCTAACTGAAGCTGCAGAAAAAGATGAGGACTCTTGCATTTTATTTAACCTACTTCCTAAAAATGTTGGTGTCATGTCCAAAGCCAGCAAGTGGTGATAGTGTTAGTAACCTTCCACTATAACGTTTCCGTCAACCGAATAGAATTGTACCTATGACTAGATGCATTATTGATCACAATGCAGAGGATCAAGAGATGACTGTAATGTACATATTTGTTTGGTTTCCCCAAACCTAGAACTCCTGTCTTTGCCACCAAAGCAGTCTTATGTTGAAAAAGCACCAAGGCAAATTATCTCACCCATTCACTCATTCTTGCTGAGGAAGAATGTCATGTCTCAACCAGACAGATTTCTTGATTTCTTAATGCAAAATAATAAGTGAGCACTGGGTTCTGCCTTTAGAATTTTAATCACCCAAAATATTCAGATAAGCTTCTGAACTGAATTTTTAAAACTGTTGAGGTTTGGCTGATATCAGAAATATTTCTCATCTGTAAATTCATTTTTATGAAGATCCATTACTGTACCTGTGACTGTACAAAAGATGAGACATCCAGAAAGTTTGCTTCTTTACCTTTATTTTCTAGAAATGCTTTGACTAGGACACGTGAAGAAAAGCTGAACAAGCACAAGTAACAATCTTTGACTGCTTTGTCCACCTGACTTCACAAGAGAAAAGGCAAGAAAGATTGGTGAATCTGAATTGCAAAAATTGCATTTTGTAGGTTTCAAAGGAAGTTGTTTTCCTCTGATCTTGTGCAACCTTTGGGTGCAGAACTGGAATAAAAACCACTATACTTGAATATGGCTTAACTGCTGGATTGCTTCTTAAGATAGTGTATAAAAGATAGATGGTTACTCATGGCTAGTAAGCAAACTGGACTTTAACCTTAAAAAAACAGTTTTGTACTTCAATTTTGAGCCCCGAGAGAAATGCTTTTTTGCTCATAGCTAGGCAGCTTCATCACAAAATTGCACTGTTTCACTGGAATAGACGGATGGAAACAGGATGATTTTTTATTGTTAGTTTGTGTTAATCCTCCTCAGCTAATGTGTCTGATCTGGACGTGCCTAAATTTAAAATTAGTCAGTTAGAGATTATGATTAACAAGGGGTAATCACTTCTTTTGATTGAGGTTTTAAAAAACTATGCATTTTTGTTCACATTAGCAAAGATATTAAACTATTCACACTAAGTAATTAAAAAATTAAGCTTGTTTTCTTTCCTGTTCTTGTTACTGATTTACTAAAGTATTGAGCATATTTGGTCTCTTGAGAATTGTGGAGCAACTGCATTGAAAGGAAATGATTCAAATTCCACATTACAAAAAACAACTTTGTTTTTGAAGGGGATTGCTTCGGCTATTTCCCAGGTACTGGGGAAAATTCCAGTTTAATTGTATGAATTAATAGCGTGACTGCCTATAGACAGAAGGATTCAAGGCAATTGGTGACATGGCTCCGAATATTCACAAGTTGATTTGTATAATAAGATTATACTGGCTTACAAATGAGGGTTCAGTTACATGAGTTACTCATGATCCCAGGTAACTTTGCCAAGATATTTATTTAAAAAGAAAAAAAAGTACTAGTAAATGATGCATGTATTTGTTAGTGCACCTTATAAAGAAATACATATGCTATACAGTTGCAATAGAAACCTGCTCTGAAAGTTGATGTAGAGAGCTACTTTTTTATCTTAGGTGAAGTATGTGACACTTGGGTAACAACCAAATTTTGCATATGCCCTAATTTCATAATAAATTGGTTTTGGTAGCCACCAATATATTACATTTCTAGTATGACAACAGAATAGTGGTAGTAAAAGATCTATTGTGTAAGGTTGAGGTTTGTTGATGGAAAAATCCCATGGGGTTACCTAAAATAGACTAAATCACAGATGCTTTAAGGATCTCACACTGCAGTGGAATCTCGGCGCTCTGACCAATTCGTTACGTTCATTGAAAAAGAATAGAAAATTACTGTTGACTTTTTTTCTTTTATCCCTTGAAAATTTGAAACAGATGTTTCCTTATCAGACTTTTCTGAGATCAGTGGTGCTCATACAACAGTTGCCTGGGTACTTTTTAAGGAGGAAAAAAACATTGGTACATTTGTTTGGAAAGCTTCCTACCTTTTCTCTTCCCTTCTTTGGGTATTGACTTATAAACAGATACCAAAAGGTTGCATTTTAAACCTGCTAGCCATGACCGTGTTTAAGTTGTATTAGTGTGTGTATATATACCAATTTCATCTCCTAGTCAAGTGGTGTAATCATGGACCGCTGGTGAAAACATTCTTTCAAGAGGCTGAGTAAAACTGTCAGATCCTGCTCTCTGGGGTGAGGAGGTGTTGCAGTTTCTGTCCCAGCCTGGTGTGGAGGGAAGAGCCCATGGTGGAAGGGTAGAAGGAAAATGAGCCAACCACACACTCATCCAGCAGTAGTAGCTGCTGTTGGACCCAGCTCCACGCTCTGGTTCATTGGCTCTTGCCGCTTTCAGACTTGCTGTGGCAGGCTCCGAATGATGGGGGACTAGCCATATCACCTCCCCCACAGGGTAAGGGATGGGGGGGGAAGGTCAGCAGCCCCACATAACACTCCAAAGTGAGGAAAAGATGCTGATACCAGGGCTCAAGGGATTGGAGGGCGGGGGGTTCCAGATGAGCCATAGGGAACTGGAGCCATTGAAGAAGGGAGAGGGGTGGGTGCAGCCAGGACTTGGAGGCATTTGGGGTGATTTATAAGGATTATATGGATTTCTGTATTGGGAGGGCAGCAGAAGGGCACTGCGGGAGTAAGTATGGGTGGGCATCGGGAGAAGAGGGAGGTTGGGCAAGGGAAGTGGTTTAAGGGATGGTGGGGACTATAGGGGAGGTTTTAAGAGGTGGGTTTGTTGGGGAATGGGACTTGGGATGGTGAGCGGTGGCGGGAGTTGGCAGGTGATGTTTTATGGGCACATTTGGGGAGATGGGAGTTGGGATGGTGGAGAGGTGAGATCA